GTCCTAAACCCCACTACACCCCGAAACCACCACGATGCTATCCTGGCAGTACAGACCCTAGATGCCCCAAGCCAACAACACCTGCCCCTCCACGATGCTTCCCAGGCACCACAGATCCCAGATGTCCAAAGCCTACCACGCCTAAACCAAAAGAGCCGGTGTGTTACCCAGGTTCGCCGGATCCAAAATGCCCGCAACCGCCGCGGCCAACGACTATAACTCCACCAACATACTTACCTCCAGTAACACCCGCACCAAAGTGCTATCCCGGTTCCACAGATCCTAATTGCCCTAAACCTACCACACCTGAACCACCACGATGCTATCCTGGCAGTACAGACCCTAGGTGTCCTAAACCCACAACAACTGCACCCCCACGATGCTTCCCAGGAAGCACAGATCCGAGATGCCCTAAACCTACAACACCTGCACCACCGCGATGCTTCCCGGGTAGTAGAGACCCTAGATGTCCCAAGCCAACAACACCAGAACCTCCTCGATGCTTCCCTGGTAGTACAGATGCGAGGTGTCCTAAACCCACTACACCCGAACCACCACGATGCTATCCTGGCAGTACAGACCCTAGGTGCCCCAAACCCACTACACCCGAACCCCCACGCTGTTTCCCCGGCAGTACGGATCCTAGGTGTCCTAAACCTACAACACCTGAACCTCCTCGATGCTTCCCAGGAAGCACAGATCCGAGATGCCCTAAACCTACAACACCTGCACCACCACGATGCTTCCCGGGCAGTACAGACCCTAGATGCCCCAAGCCAACAACACCTGCCCCTCCACGATGCTTCCCAGGGAGCACAGACCCTAGATGTCCTAAACCCACTACACCCGCACCACCACGATGCTATCCTGGCAGTACAGACCCTAGATGCCCCAAGCCAACAACACCTGCCCCTCCACGATGCTTCCCAGGGAGCACAGACCCTAGATGTCCTAAACCCACTACACCCGAACCACCACGATGCTATCCTGGCAGTACAGACCCTAGATGCCCCAAGCCAACAACACCTGCCCCTCCACGATGCTTCCCAGGGAGCACAGACCCTAGATGTCCTAAACCCACTACACCCGAACCACCACGATGCTATCCTGGCAGTACAGACCCTAGATGCCCCAAGCCAACAACACCTGCCCCTCCACGATGCTTCCCAGGCACCACAGATCCCAGATGTCCAAAGCCAACCACGCCTAAACCAAAAGAGCCGGTGTGTTACCCAGGTTCGCCGGATCCAAAATGCCCGCAACCGCCGCGGCCAACGACTATAACTCCACCAACATACTTACCTCCAGTAACACCCGCACCAAAGTGCTATCCCGGTTCCACAGATCCTAATTGCCCTAAACCAACCACACCTGAACCACCACGATGCTATCCTGGCAGTACAGACCCTAGGTGTCCTAAACCCACAACAACTGCACCCCCACGATGCTTCCCAGGAAGCACAGATCCGAGATGCCCTAAACCTACAACACCTGCACCACCGCGATGCTTCCCGGGTAGTACAGACTCTAGATGTCCCAAGCCAACAACACCAGAACCTCCTCGATGCTTCCCTGGTAGTACAGATGCGAGGTGTCCTAAACCCACTACACCCGAACCACCACGATGCTATCCTGGCAGTACAGACCCTAGGTGCCCCAAACCCACTACACCCGAACCCCCGCGCTGTTTCCCCGGCAGTACGGATCCTAGGTGTCCTAAACCTGCAACACCTGAACCTCCTCGATGCTTCCCAGGAAGCACAGATCCGAGATGCCCTAAACCTACAACACCTGCACCACCACGATGCTTCCCGGGCAGTACAGACCCTAGATGCCCCAAGCCAACAACACCTGCCCCTCCACGATGCTTCCCAGGGAGCACAGACCCTAGATGTCCAAAGCCTACCACGCCTAAACCAAAAGAGCCGGTGTGTTACCCAGGTTCGCCGGATCCAAAATGCCCGCAACCGCCGCGGCCAACGACTATAACTCCACCAACATACTTACCTCCAGTAACACCCGCACCAAAGTGCTATCCCGGTTCCACAGATCCTAATTGCCCTAAACCAACCACACCTCAACCACCACGATGCTATCCTGGCAGTACAGACCCCAGGTGTCCTAAACCCACAACAACTGCACCTCCACGATGCTTCCCAGGAAGCACAGATCCGAGATGCCCTAAACCTACAACACCTGCACCACCGCGATGCTTCCCGGGTACTACAGACCCTAGATGTCCGAAGCCAACAACACCAGAACCTCCTCGATGCTTCCCTGGTAGTACAGATGCGAGGTGTCCTAAACCCACTACACCCGAACCACCACGATGCTATCCTGGCAGTACAGACCCTAGATGCCCCAAACCCACTACACCCGAACCCCCACGCTGTTTCCCCGGCAATACGGATCCTAGGTGTCCTAAACCTACAACACCTGAACCTCCTCGATGCTTCCCAGGAAGCACAGATCCGAGATGCCCTAAACCTACAACACCTGCACCACCACGATGCTTCCCGGGTAGTACAGACCCTAGATGTCCCAAGCGAACAACACCTGCACCACCACGATGCTTCCCGGGTAGTACAGACCCTAGATGTCCCAAGTCAACAACACCAGAACCTCCTCGATGCTTCCCTGGTAGTACAGATGCGAGGTGTCCTAAACCAACTACACCCGAACCACCACGATGCTATCCTGGCAGTACAGACCCTAGATGCCCTAAGCCAACAACACCTGCCCCTCCACGATGCTTCCCAGGGAGCACAGACCCTAGATGTCCTAAACCCACTACACCCGAACCACCACGATGCTATCCTGGCAGTACAGACCCTAGATGCCCCAAGCCAACAACACCTGCCCCTCCACGATGCTTCCCAGGGAGCACAGACCCTAGATGTCCTAAACCCACTACACCCGAACCACCACGATGCTATCCTGGCAGCACGGACCTTAGATGCCCTAAGCCGACAACACCTGCACCACCACGATGCTTCCCAGGCACCACAGATCCCAGATGTCCAAAGCCTACCACGCCTAAACCAAAAGAGCCGGTGTGTTACCCAGGTTCGCCGGATCCAAAATGCCCGCAACCGCCGCGGCCAACGACTATAACTCCGCCAACATACTTACCTCCAGTAACACCCGCACCAAAGTGCTATCCCGGTTCCACAGATCCCAATTGCCCTAAACCAACCACACCTGAACCACCACGATGCTATCCTGGCAGTACAGACCCTAGGTGTCCTAAACCCACAACAACTGCACCTCCACGATGCTTCCCAGGAAGCACAGATCCGAGATGCCCTAACCTACAACACCTGCACCACCACGATGCTTCCCGGTAGCACAGACCCTAGATGTCCCAAGCCAACAACACCAGAACCTCCTCGATGCTTCCCTGGTAGTACAGATGCGAGGTGTCCTAAACCCACTACACCCGAACCACCACGGTGCTATCCTGGCAGTACAGACCCTAGGTGCCCCAAACCCACTACACCCGAACCCCCACGCTGTTTCCCCGGCAGTACGGATCCTAGGTGTCCTAAACCTACAACACCTGAACCTCCTCGATGCTTCCCAGGAAGCACAGATCCGAGATGTCCTAAACCCACTACACCTGAACCACCACGTTGCTATCCGGGTAGCACAGATCCTAGATGTCCCAAACCCACTCCTCCTGAACCACCAAGATGCTATCCTGGCAGTACAGACCCTAGGTGTCCTAAACCCACAACAGCTGAACCTCCTCGCTGTTTTCCCGGCAGTTTAGACCCTAGGTGCCCTAAACCTACAACACCTGAACCCCCTCGTTGTTTCCCTGGGAGCACAGATTCTAGATGTCCAAAGCCCACCACACCTGGAACACAAAAGCCAATTTGTTACCCTGGATCACCTGATCCAAAATGTCCGCAGCCAACACGACCAACGACCTTAACACCTCCTAACTATTTGCCTCCAGAAACACCGCCACCACGTTGCGGTCTCGGCAGTACAGATCCTAGGTGCCCTAAACCTACAACACCTGAACCTCCTCGCTGTTTCCCCGGTAGTACAGATCCTCGTTGCCCAAAACCAACTACTCCTGAACCTCCTCGGTGCTTCCCCGGTAGTACAGATCCTCGTTGCCCAAAGCCTACTACTCCTGAACCTCCTCGCTGTTTCCCCGGCAGTTTGGACCCCAGGTGTCCAAAACCTACTACACCTGAACCCCCTCGGTGCTTCCCCGGTAGTACAGATCCTCGTTGCCCAAAGCCTACTACTCCAGAACCTCCTCGCTGTTTCCCCGGCAGTTTGGACCCCAGGTGTCCAAAACCTACTACACCTGAACCCCCTCGGTGCTACCCTGGTAGTACAGATCCTCGTTGCCCAAAGCCTACTACTCCTGAACCTCCTCGGTGCTTCCCCGGTAGTACAGACAATAGGTGCCCAAAACCTACTACCCCTGAACCCCCTCGCTGCTTCCCCGGTAGTGCAGATCCTAGGTGCCCTAAGCCGACAACACCTGAACCTCCTCGCTGTTTCCCTGGCAGTTTAGACCCTAGATGCCCAAAACCTACTACCCCTGAACCCCTTCGCTGCTTCCCCGGTAGTACGGATCCTCGTTGCCCAAAGCCTACTACTCCTGAACCTCCTCGCTGCTTCCCCGGTAGTACGGATTCCAGGTGTCCTAAACCTACAACACCTGAACCTCCTCGCTGCTTCCCCGGCAGCACTGATCCCCGGTGCCCTAAAATTACAACCCCTGAACCCCCTCGGTGCTTCCCCGGTAGTACAGATCCTCGTTGCCCCAAACCTACTACTCCTGAACCTCCTCGCTGCTTCCCCGGTAGTACGGATTCCAGGTGTCCTAAACCTACAACCCCTGAACCCCCTCGCTGTTTCCCCGGCAGTTTAGACCCGAGGTGCCCAACACCTGAACCTCCTCGCTGCTACCCCGGCAGCACTGATCCCAGATGCCCTAAACCTACAACTCCAAGCTCGTGTTACCCAGGATCCAGAGATCCAAAATGTCCACAACCTTTCGCCCCTAGTAGCACAAATCCACCTTCCACGTACTTGCCACCATTCCCAGCTGAAAATGAAGTGAAATCTCAACGTGCCTTAAGATTAGTTTCAAAGGAGTTTGATGATGACATTGGTAAGAATTTTTATCCGTATTTTCTAATAGGAAATGTTAGTTTATTATAACAATTAATCGTTTATAAAGAAGACAGTCACATCTCCGCTTTCAATACCGATGATGATATAATAATATCTGATTGATACGCAAACTTTTAACTGCACTTTCTGTGGAATATTTTACGTTACAAATGTTCATCTACAAGTAATCAGGATTTATAGATTTATCTCTACATCTTACAGGTACTACTGGGCAAACAGAGTCAAAATCCCGAAAAGTGAGAGAAGTGACAGGCATTAGTGATACCGCTGCAATTGCATCGACTGGCGTGGCTGCAATGTACATAGTGATGGGCTCTGCAGTATTCATGATTTTATCAGTTTCACTTGCTGTGTATTTGTACACAAACAGAAGACCTAGAACAACAATAACGACCAACGCGACAAACTCCTGCTGAGCATTGTAAATTTTAATAGTGTAGAATTTATATTTTGTGATATCATAAGTATGAATAATAACCTTAACAAAAGTTAAAAGAAATGGCTGCGTTCTAATATTTTTTGTATCAAGTTCGTTTCAATTCACTGCCTTTTTAGCTTTATTATTTCAGGCGCTTAAGCATGCCTATTGTATCATTATGTAAAATAGTGCCATAATGAAACAATGTTAATACTGAAGTATTCTTCAAAGCATTCTCAGAATTATTATGTATATCTTTATAATTCCTAGTCAATATTATATATTACGTAAAGCATATTTTGATTTCATCATGATGTATTAAATTAAATCTTACTCTTTGTTTAATATAATCATTTGTGATATTTTTGTATAATAATATATTAAACAGTACACTGATGTGGCCATGAATTTGTATAGAGTACGTATTTTTTTAGTCATATGGCTAGATTAAGTATATTCTGTGAAACACGACAGAAGAAAGCTGAGATTTATGCTTAGATCTTTGGAATGTCTACACAGTCATAAAAGTTATATTTACGACGATTTTGTAATGTTAGTAAATGATTTTAGAAACGATCTAAGTAAAACATTCTATGAATGTCAAATTTGTTTCATTTCTCTTCACAAATAATAACTCGCTTAGCTTTATAAATATAAGTTACCCACGTAACCTAAAAGATAAAAACACTCAAACTTTAGAATTCAACGGGCTGTTTATTAAACGTATATAGCACAAGCGAGTTCTCTAACCCAAACTAAGCACTTGTACGATACGTTTTTAGATATTGTTGCGCCATATAATTAGATGGTTCGATTGTATGAAATGTGGAGGACAGCGCCAACTTGTATCGACTAAAGTACATCTATTAAGATTGTGGTTAATAGGAGTAGTTTTGATCCTTACGCAATCCTCCTGAACGCGTGACTGATTCTGGAAAATTCTTGTTGGTTTGGAACGGACAATCGAATACTAGAGATTTTTCTAGTAAAATTCAAAAGCGCTAAAGAAACGGAGAGTGTTGGCCATTCGAGACTGTATCGTTTTACGACACAGCGAATTAACATAGGAGTGAATTTCTAATGCGACTAACAACATATATAATGATTTCTAGTCTATTATAGTTAGTGTTTGTCAATACAGTGAAATAAAGTAATTAACCAACAACTTTTATTTATTATATACCCCCTCCTAACAATATAATATTTTTTTAAATGTGGCGTCTCCCAGATACAAAGAAACAGAAACATACTACAGCGTCATCTAACGAAGACACATCGAACTACGGAGTAATTACTAACTGAGAATTGCTAATCCTGTATCGCGATTAGATGAGAATTCTCTCGCAGATTACCATATACACGGTGATTTTTTAGGCGTTTTGGAAACGAAACATTTTAATTTGGAATCATCTATAGTACCAATAAAAATGATTAAATCAATTGTAATGTTGTCTAAAAAAAAGTTTCAGTTTTAATATTCATTTTTACTCGATCGACTTGGAAAGTAGTAATGGACTGATCATTCATTCATTATCTTATATGAATGAAACTCGTCCGTGGGCGTTTCGGCGGCCGCTGCGCACCGCTGACGCTAACAGCAGCTGATAAAAGTATACCTATAGGCGCGAGCTAGCGAGTACTTACGTAGATAGACTCCAATTTGTCCTTCATACTTTACACGGGCTTAGGATCGTCGGAAATACCTATTTTATTTAAACTTCTTTTCGATTATTAACCACGATTGTTCTTTTCACAACAAATCAATTTATCAACGGACTGTAGGTATAAATATTTCAAGCGTATTTAAAAAATCGGAGCTATCTACAGAATAATTAACTTACATACCTATTTACACTATTTACACTTCTCTGTATCGAAGCAACTGCTCAAAATGGAGTCCGCTGCATTCAATACACAAGCGTCCACGTTTAATGCAATTGTTTTTTAATTTTCTTAATGTGTCTCTATCACTTTTCACTTTATCAAAAGCGTCCACTATCGCAATGCGTAAATTATCACGGCTTTCATATTTCCGTGTATAAACAAGTATTTTTATTTCCGACCATAAGAAAAAATCCAGGGGCGTTAAGTCCGGGCTTCTAGGTGGCCAAGGCACTGGGCCGCCTCGACCTATCCACCGATCACTAAACTCATTGTCCAGGTATGCACGCACTACACTCCGGCGAATAATAATTTAAACGTCCTTGACCTTGCGCGTGAGTATAGTATTTCTATTCGTAGTATTTACCTACTTGCGATTGAAAAGCCCTACTACTGGTTCTCACCTTTTCTCTGTAATCGATATGAATATCGACTTTGATGATAAAAAATATATATATATTATTAAATTAACGTTATATATAGCTTCTGTTACTGATAAATAACTTAAAATTTTCTTTTCCAAAACGCTTTCAAAATCACCGTGTATACCCAACACCAACCGTTGGGCCAAGGCCCACCAGGCATGACCTCACCTGGTAGGAGGGACCCCACCTTGTGTTGGAGGGACATGACACTCGTTCCTCCACAAATATACCTACACCGTTATGTTAGAATATAATATATATTTGCATAAATCTACGGGTCCTATATGTTTTTGTATAATATTTACAAAACATGTAAAACTTTAATAGAACTTATAGTAATGGCCGGTGGCGGATTAACCCTTAAGTCAAAGTAAGCACGTGCCTAGGGACGCGAGGTTTCAAAGGGGCGCGCACAATTTTTTAAGAAAGAAAAAGAATGCTTAACATAAAAGTAACTGTGTCAGTAAGTATGCACATACACACACAATATAATCTATAATTCCTTAATTCTATAGAGATGTTTTAGGTTGTCAACCTAAAACATCATCTAGGATTTATATTACGTAATTGCCACTATTACTTTGCTTTCATTTTCTGATACCTAAGAAGATTGAGGTTGGTGCGTGTACACAAAAATGCAGTTGCTACAACTCCAGCTATAGTTGAGATTACTCTATAAGTTGTATTAATAGACCAGGGTTGTCTAGTCAATGGCACTATACGGTTCAACGTTGTGAGCGGAAGCTCTGATCGCCCAGAATAAGGCTACCAAGTGCTAACTCTTAGAGGGTGCTGGCGGATCTCTCGCATGAGATATAAAGGCGGAAATAAGTGGCTAAAAGCCGCTTGCCGAGCCACAATAACTCGTTCCATGTGTGGCTTTGGCGCCGTGGTGGCGGTACAGCCGGTCATCGTCTAGTGGGCAGGGTGGCAGCACGGGACTCTTTCCTTCCGACTGACGCAGGTCTTTTCCGGGCACGTTTACTTCGGGAGATACCAGCAGTTGTTCGCTAGGAGTGAATTCAGTTGAGCCTGTCACCACTACGGTGCAGTTCGAACTCGGCTCAGCACAAACTGGTCAACGTTGTGTCCAGGAGAGTATTTCTCGCTACCAGCCGTTACACACTCCAACTCTGGCGCGTCTTCAAGCGCCTCGTGCTGACCAGAGTATGGTATCAGGTAGACGGGTTTACCCCTCTACTAACGTGTGGCGTGCGGTAAGAGGCACCGCGAGGAGAGGCGGTTGGGACTGGGAGGTGTCTCCGAACAAATATGAGGCCTTTTACCTAACTTTCATAAGCCTCGGAGGGGGCCACCTGAGGGATCCAGTATCCTCATAGTAGAATGGCACTCGCATTGGCATGGTCTTCGTTGAGGGATCTTGGGCTCGTACTGGATCGGAATCGTGGGACTTGAGAAATCGAAATCATGCGGCGGTGAGACCTGTTATGGAAGTTTAGCTCGAGAGAAAACACGGGACCACGGGACGCAGGAGATCACCTATGTCTGATCCGCAAGGAACCAACACCTTCACACGCTGCTAGAATGCCCAGCGTGGCGTGGGTGGAACAGAGGCGTGGCCTTGTGACGGCTTCTCGATTCTCTAGCTCGGTAACATGATTGCAGCCATGGTACGGAGCGATGGCGCGTTGAACTCCGCCACATCCTTCTGCGAGCAAGATATGCTCGAGAAGGAGAGGGTGGAGAGGGATCTGAAGAGGCTTAGAACTCTCCAGGTCCGCTAGGCCCCGGAACGGATCAGGTACTGCAGGTGGCTTAGGCGACGGAGGTCGGCGGGGTTTTCCACACGTAAAAAAATTAGTAAAGTTCTAGTAAAGAAATGACAGCCAAAATTTGTAGTCTTCACTATCGGCAGTAGTAACGTCAACTAGTAGCTATTAATAGGTATGGGCGATAGAGGGGGGGCGGATGTATAAGATAATAAGGATGAAATATTTTGTATAATGCAGTAATTTCCCTACTCTAAGCGGTCATTTTGTTGCTTTCTACTGCGATGCTTGTTGTGGGTTCGATCCCTACATGGGACAAACTTTGTGTAATGCTGAAAATGTTGTTCTAAGTCTGGGTGTTCTTTGGATATGTTTCGTGGATGTATGTAAACTGCCCCGGGTACAGGATATATTCTTAGTACGGGTAGTAAAAATCGTTTTAGGCGTTGTTCTAGAGACCCAAAATCGCACTACATTACATGAGTGACATTAATAGGATACTTATCATTAGTACGATACAAAAAAAACTAGCGACAAAGAACGGTGCTATACCGTGACGAACTATTTATTTATTTATTTATTTTTATTTATTTATTTATATGACACACAATACAACTATTTTTACAGGTTTTGTACCTAATACAATAGTGTAGCCATTTCTTGTTACAAACATATATAGTAGTAAATAACACTTATTTTATAAACAATTTTAGCAACCTCATTCATCACTACAGCCAGACACACAGTCACACTCATATACTTCCAATCACACCCATCCCAGATAAACCACTCCCAAACACGGCACATACTGACCCGCCTATCACACAACCACTCGTCCCGGGCGGGCCCACTAGGCCGACAGGCCTCACGTATTACAAGTCCATGTTATAGCAAATAACATTCAACGCTACTCCTGTGAATTCACTCAGAGCACAACAGAATATGTCTATCTCGCTGGCTATTAGGTTTAATGTGCGAAGTGCGCGCGTCAGTGGCGCCTGGCTTAGAAGATTGGTACGGGCGCGCGGCTCCGCCAGCAATCTCGGTTGTCGCCGTCGCCACACATACCCGTCTGGCACACAAAAATACACCTGTCCCAATAGGTCAGCATTATGTACTTTCCCCCTAATTATTTTGATGATATATGTGGTGAGTGCGAGTTCCCTTCTAGCACTCAGAGTGTTGTATCCCACCATTCCACTATAAATAAAGTTGGGTACATTAATGGGTAGAGTGGGTATACACCATACCGACGCAAATATAGATATCTCAAAAATTTGTTATGTACCCGCTCCACCATGAACCTATATTTAGATTCATGAGGAGCCCAGATAACTGCGTTACATTCCAGCTGACTTCGGACCAGAGCATTATACAGGGCAATAACCGCGCCAATATTTGTGAACTGTTGAACCGTGCGAAGGATAAAACCTAAGTTCCTGTATGCTTTCTTACAAATTTTGGTGATGTGATTGCGAAACGTTAGCGCAGTGGTAAAATTTACCCCTAGGTCCCTAACTTCTGTGACCCGTGTGAGCGGCGTTCCGTCTATATTACAATTATGTACCACAGGGCTGCGTGCGCGAGAGAAACTAATTATCACGCATTTTGAGGTGTTAAATTGTAGGAGGTTATCTCTACTCCAATCCACTACCCTGTCTATGTCCCTTTGCAACCTTTTACAGTCATCCACGCTTTTTCAGCAAAAGAGAGCTTGAGATCATCAGCAAACAGTAAGCACCTAGCGTCTTGAACCACTCTTGTCAAATCATTTATCATAATTATAAACAATAGTTGTCCGAGATTACTGCCCTGACTCACGCCAGATCGCGTAAAATATGGTTCTGAGACTTGTCCCGCGTATTCTACATACTGCTGCCGATCGCTCATATAGCTGGCAAAAAAACTAAGCAAGTGGGGGGTAAACCCAACCATGGCTAACTTTTTAAGCAGGACGTCATTGTTTACCAGATCAAATGCCTTTTTAAAATCAAAGTAAGCCGAATCAATCTGTCCCCCACTGTCCACTGTTGGCACAATATGAGCCATGTAGCTGAGAAGGTTACTAGTGGTGCTTCTCGCTGGCCGAAAACCATGTTGGGCATCGGCAAGTTGTGCACTTACCTGATGAAATATGCTTGTGTGGATTGCAGCTTCAAACACCTTTGCCGGAGTCGATAGTACTGCAACCGGCCTGTATCCATCCACTTGTGCCCCCAGACTTCCCTTCGGCACGGGCACCACGCGGGTTACTTTCCATCGCTCCGGAAACACTGCCGCCTTTAGGCACTTATTATAAATATCCAAAAGCGGCTCCGCTAAAACCGACCGACAATCCTTAAATATATAAGGCGGAATGCAGTCTGGTCCTGTGGATCTTTTAGCTTTAAGTTGTTGGAGGGCGCGAATGACGTCATTCAGTTGCAATTGGTCAATGTGAACGCGAGCCGAGCTATTGTCGCTGCCCGCTTGTGATATAGCTGCGCTCACATTTAACTCGGCCCGCTCCGCACTATAAACCGAATAAAAATAATCAGCGAAATCTTTAGCACATTGGTCATCCGTTAACGCTTCCCCATTTTTAAATATCTGTTGGGGAACTAAACTAAACAATGGCCAATCGTCCGCCACCGTAAATACCGTGGCGATGGCTTGCCGTGGGCCAGTATGGGACATTGTGTACTGACGTCTTAAAGTATCTTTCACTCTCCTACTCCCACCCTCCATTTTACAATAATTTATATGGCAGAGCAAGGTTTGCCAGATCAGCTAGTTTTTCTATATGTTATAAATGTTACACAAATTTCAAGCAAAGCCTCTAAAATGTTTTAAGAACGGGTACAAAATCTAGGGCCTGTTGCTAGCTTGAGCTGGTACAGTTATTAATTATTATATATTATGTAGATACCAAACTTATTTGAAATGTTACTTTAAATATTTTTATTAGCATTTAATTTTGTCTGATGTCACCATTTAAATAAAATGGATTTCAAAGATAACAAATAAAATGGTCCAATGATACTCCTAACTGAGTGTAATCTAGGGCTACACTTGTTTCTATTATAGTTTTTTACATAAATTAAGGTATATATTTTTTCTACACATGTGAAAGTACAGTGGAAGTATTTCAAACAAATTTGAGAAACCTTAGACAAATGTCTCATAATTGACAAACAAATAATTGACAAATGTATAATACCCTTACAGAGGATAGAAAAAGCATCAAAGTAATAAAAGGTAACTATTTATTAAATTATTTATTTGAAGCACTACAGAAGTCACAAGCTTACATAACAATATTACTAAAATAGAACTAGTATTCAAAGAGATACATTATCCTAAATCGATTAAGTCATCTGTAAAATGTAATAATCAAACAACTAATTTTAAATTTTAATGACTGACTTGCTTTTATATTTTTATAATTGTTAATAATCCAGCAAAGTTATTTATTTACAATGTACATAGATATGAATAGAAAACAATTAGTACCAAAAAGAGAAAGAGGTTTTAATTTTTTCAAAAAAGAGATCATGTGGGTGATACTTTAAAATTAAATACCAACATATATTATACTAAATCAACTTAAGTACCTACTTGAGCAAATTTATATCTAATTTAATAGACTACTACATTCAAATCTAAATTAAAATAAATACAAATAGTTCTATTTTTACTACAATAGTACTTACAATGTGATTTTGATTGAATTATGTGTTTATTTTAATACATTGATTCACTCAGTAGTGCTTATTTATATGCTGTTGCAGTTACAGAGGACTGACACAGGGGTTGTGGGTTTTATTCAGACCCAGACAAAATAATTATAAAATGAAAATGGTTAATTCTTATTTCTGGGCAGAATTTTTCTATTATATGCACATATTTAATAATTATTTAAGTATGTTTATTAGCAGTCTGATTACCATAGCACAGGTGGTATTAGAGATTAGATAGTTGTATCTCATGGCATCCTCATTATAATTATAGTGAAACAAAATAATGTATATTATACTGTTGCATCTGCTGGCTTACCTATGTTCAGGCATACAATATAATATTGTATGGCTATACGGGTGATGTCCTGCTTCAAAGTCAGTAAAAAAAATCCAGCACATACAACAGTTTTTAAAAAAAGAATTACTAGGCCATGTGGATATGTAATATCTTGGAGGAAATTATAATTTAATGACTACCTACATTAATAATAATTAATATGTATAATATTCCTACATAGATAATTAGATATTAATACATACCAAAGTTGAAACTTTTTAGGAATATAAGCTCAGATAAAAGTAGAACATACCATAACATATTCATTACTATTACTTATTTGACATTTTGAATTTGAGAATAACAAGTAGGTAATATTAGGGAGATTATATTTTATACAGCAATAAATGGTTAAAAATAATTTTAATGGTTAAACAGAAGAATTAATTGATTTTACGAATATTAGAACTATTGGATATTTTCAAAGTAGGTAGGTATATCATAATTATCTATTTAATGATACAGAGACCTATGCTGTAATAAGAAGAAAGGTAAATTAGATGATTATCAAAAATACATTGATATTTCACCAAATGGTATCAAAACCCTTTAGGATCTTGCTAGGATCAGCTAGATAGTAGATAGATAGATGATCATGCTTACTTTTTGATAGATCAACATCTTCTAACTAAAATTTAAGTTGATTTTATTTACCGCTCAATAAGCTTCAATCTGATAGGTCCGTTCGGGGTATACATTGGATGAATGTGATAGTCCATTGGTTTATGATGATATTCCATTTTAAAAGCTTGCACCATCTGAAACGGCGAAATATTTTAAGTATATTACCTATCTAGTAAAATGTTTAAAGATACAAAAGGTAAAGGTACAAAAGCAAAAACCTTCGTAAAACAACCTATTATTCTCATTCTGTTGTGCATAACTTCAATACTTATAAAAAAATCACAACAAAAATACACAAACACTAGCAAAAAAAATCCATCCGCCTAAATAAAGTTAGAGTTAGTTTCACGATAGTTTCGCGGTTCGTTCAAACAAAACGTTCTTTAAAAATATGAAAGATGGCGTCTTTCATATTTTTAAAGAACGTTTTGTTTCATTTGTTTTGTTGCATTTCGTTTGTTTAAAAAAATATCGTAAATATCTGTGTGTAGTGTGCCAGAGTGGTTAAATTTTTCCTTTTTTTTAGATACATCTATGCAATTTTAATTATAAATATAAAAACACTGAATAAATAAAGCCGGGTTTTAAATCTTAACCAAATTCAACGTAACATCACTTAAAGAATCAGTTCTATCTGTCATAACCAAAAAAATCGTAATAATAAGTTAATACGATTTTTATGGTCATAACACTCATAACTTGTACGCTAGGTACCGGACCCAATAGAGAAAAAGAGTTTTTGGTTTTAACTGTTTAAGTATACTCAGTACCTATATTTGTGTAAAATATAGCTACTTCTCCTAAACGTGTTCTGTACCCTTGATTATTTTAAATTAACTCTTTTTGTATTTATAGTAGTTTTTTTTAGTGTTGCTGATCACCATCAATACCATCATCAACAGCCTTTAATATTCCACTGCTTTACATAGGCTTCTCCTTAGAAAGAGGTTTGACCTACTTTACCACGCTGGCCAGACGGGTGTGCATAGTGTTGCTCATTTACTCAATATATTTTTTAAGTACACTGACATGTAACTACTTAGTCGATAGGTATTCCTCGAAATGATTGATCGTCTATACAAGCTCCACAAATCCTAAAATACATCCTTCCGTTAGCTAATCATCGACAAAATCGAGCTCTCGTGCTATTGTAAAGCAGATTACCTTGCATATAACCGTATGTATTTCCAGTTCGGCAAATCTTCTCCCCAAACACATCCTTTTTCCATAACCGAATGGTAATGATGCAAACGCATGGTGCTTTTGTGTTGAAGATCGATGCATCCACCTTTCGGGTCGAAAGTCTCTTGCATTTGAGAAATTATCGTCGCTGTTTCCCATTACGTAATGTTGAAAGATTACTTGAGTCTATAAATAGGAAATAATTTTATTACGGTGTGTACCTATTTCGGAAACATACCTACACAAGTGGAATGCAAAAATAATCCTAATGAAGTCCCTGCAATATAGTTGAGTTTATTATCCTTGTCCTTTTCTCGCCTAAAAATTAGTTTGTTTCCTTTAAAAATACCTCTAACCTTTTTTGAATGAAATTTACCATTTGTCCGACAACAAAACAAACTGACCTGACAAAATCTATACAAAAATTTGTAATGATCAGTTGAACAGTTAACAAGCTCACATTTATTAAAATAATATTATTAAATATAATAATATTCTACCACATACACACAACGCCATCTAGTTCTAAACTAAGCAGAGCTTGTACTATGGGTACTAGACAACTGATATAAATACATATATACTTTTTTTTTTTTGTAAATACATACACATTATACATAGAAACACCCAGACCAAATCAAACATCAAATGTTCATGCACACAAATGTTTGACTTGAGCGGGAATCGAACCCGCGACCTTTGGAATAGCAGTCCGTTACACAAACCACTACGCCATCCGGTCCATTTCTAGTTATAATGCTTGGTTAGTTAGAATTAGGTCGGTTGTGATTCTTTTGTGAATAAAATATAACTAATTGTAAGTTTTCTAGTATTGTTAAAAGTAGAGAGAGGAGTAGACTTGGACCCATGACTTTGTTTCGGGGATATTTCTTAGAATTGTTTAGTCATAGAAAATAGCGACATTTCATTTCAATAGGACTAATCGATACCTAAAGGTATCAGTAAATATCTTTTTTCAAAATAACGTAATTTATTATTTATAGTTTAAGTATCTACCAATTAAGTAGGTACTTACCCCTTTAGGTATTTGATAGCCACAAATGATCGTGTCTTTCGAGAGTTGTCTGCCGTTTCCGATTACCACAGGATACATCCTTTAAAAAATAACAGTAATAAATATGAATAAGAATAATATAATAATGTTAATATTCTACCACATTCACACAACGGTTTGTTTACCGGAAAGCATAAAAAGCGTAATTTATAGGACTTCTTTATTTAAACGAAAACTTGGAGCCTTCCTGTTGGAAAATAACTATTATTCTATCAATGAATTTATCAATCAAAATATATGCAATTAAATACTTAATAACTTATGTAATAATAATAAATATTGTGAATAATATTCTTGAATCATGAAATGCCTTAATAATTTATCGTTTGTTTTTTCTTTTTTGTTTTTTTGTATTCTGCATGACTTAATGTAAAATCTATCAAATTTATTTGTTATTTTTTTTATTATTATGTTATTTATATTTCTGTTTTAATTTTTAAATGTTTTTGTATTATGGCGAATTGTTATATATTCAAACACAATTTTATTATTGTTTCTGAATAAATGAACTATGAACTATGAACGCCATCTGGTCTCAAACTAAGCAGAGCTTGTACTATGGGTACTAGAGAACTGATATAAATAGATATATATACTTATTTGTATTTACATCCATATTATACATAAAAACACCCAGACCCATATCAAACATTAAATGTTTCAGCACACAAGGTTTGAATTGAACGGGATTCGAACCCGCGACCTTTGACGTAGCAGTCTGATACACAAACGAATACACCATCCGGCAGTCAGAATAATATGATTACCTACGTAGGTTTATGTATCAAAACTAATGCGTTTTAAAAAAAATAGGTTTATGTCGAAAGAAACCTAGATTAGAATCAATGAACAACGAGTCTTACAGGAATCTTGCAAATCTCGTTTCAAATTTTATTCCGTTAATACAATTGTTTATGCTTTTCAAATAGTATCAAAGTTTTTCTAATACAAGACATCTCTGAGGAACACTATATTTTAAAATCTTGCGTTACATGATATTTAAATACCTAAATAAATATGTGTAAGTTCTCGCAACCTGAAGGCCAATTCTCGTAATAAAAGTTCAGTCAAAATTCAGTTCTGATTGCCGATCAACTCTCGATCTCACAACTGTCATAAATGGTATTCGTAGTGAAGTATTAAACTTCATACGTTGACTGTAATGTGAATGCTGTAATAGTCTTAATACCTAATACTTTACTTTTTTACTACTAAATAACTTTTATGACAGTTCCGAGATCAAGAGTTGATCGGAACTGTCATAAAAGAATAATTAAATTAAATCAAATTAAATTAAATTAAATTAAATTTAAATTAAAATTATAAATTAAATTAAATTAAATTATTACATATGTAACAGAATAAAATCGTACACATATTTTTTCCATTTGCAATATTTTAAAAAGGATTGAACAAATTACATAATTATGTTGCATCAATAAATACCTAGGTACTTACTTACCTCATAACTTCCTTCACACATGCTTTTAAGTAAGGCATGTGGTTTACATCTCCGGGTTTCATCGGTTTATCTTGAAGAATGTTGTTAATTTCTTCGTATAAACGTTCTTGTACTGCAGGTCTTAACGACAGCTGATATAAAATTGACGCGACTGCATTCGAGGTCTAAAATATAAATGAGAAAATTTAAAGCCCGAATATAGGTCTCTGCTAGTTGTCAGCAGTCATTGAGTTTGTGTGACTGAAGTGATTGAGTGAAGTGATTGTGGGCGGGGGTTCTTAAAGCATAATACCAAATGGTTTAAAGCTCTAAGGCGGGGTTGTGTCAAAGGTCATTTTGATTCATTACAATCTTTACATGAGTTTAACAGTTATTTGAACTAGTCCTGAAACAGAGTTAACATCTGGATCTGACAAAAAGAAATGTTCAATAAATTAATTAACTTGATTCGTCAGGTGCAACAAATAATTGTGCTAATAACACAGCTATTTGTGCTGGGCGAGAATTGAACAAACAACATCTTGCTTAGCCGTCTAGATCGCTATCCACTAGACCAATAGGCCAGTTAAAAATCAATAACTGTATGAACACGATAATACTTTTTTTTAGTGCCTTCTGTCTTTGTAGATCGATGTTGTAAATTTAAATATTGCTAAACATTTTTATCAGGCGCACTAAGAAACTTGGTACTTCTAAGACTGGATCTTCCCTGTGCATTATTTGCTTTGATACATTTGATATTAGCTTGACCTATATTGTATCTATAGATTTATGTCATAAAATCTATCAACGAAGTCTTTATTATCTTTACGATGTCAACGTATATAGTTAAATTAGATATTATTAGACTATAGAAAGAAATTATAGGTTCAAAAACCTCAGGTAGGTACTATACAGTATTCATAAGTAGCTATATAAGTATGTGTGTTGACAGAGGCACCAAGAAAAAGATTGTAAATAAGTCTTCACAATCAAAAGTTAATTTGTATTTTTTTTAGTTTGCTTTTAAAGCGTATTTTCATAAAGTTTTATTTAACCACTCGTCACCTTAGTGCTTACGCTTTTTAAGGACCGATTAACCTAAAAAACGTTTATTACAGAATTACTATTATATACAGATATAATACTACAGGTAATTTAATGATAAAAAGTCGAAAAATACGATTTTAATTAAGTTTATCTCTACTCGATACACAATATTTATTTTACGCTATTGTATAGCGTTAAATAAATTGTGTGTTCACGTTGAAAGATTTAATTGCTTGAGAATGTATTTAGTATCCAGTCAACCGATCGTCTAGTGATGAAACCTATACAGTGCTTACAATGCAGAGCGAGCTATTCTCAGATTCTCAGACAATTTGTGAAACTAAGTGTAAGTGCATGAGAATTTTTCGTCGAAGAATAATCGTAATTTCTTTTGGTCTATACCTTATAGTCAACCAACCAAAACTGCCCTCAACCTTAAACAGAGCCTGGCTTAATTAAGAGTCTTACCGTGTCGATTCCTACCAAGAACAGATCAAGTGCCGCTACAGCAGCAACTCTCGGCCCAGCAGCAGCTACTAAATCTTGTAGCAGTGACTTACTGCCTCCATTAAGTTCACATTCCTTCAGCGCCTTCTCTACGTGTCTGAGAGTCACGCTGTAAAACAACAGATTGACGAAAAGATAGAAATATACCTTTAGATATATGTACCTTTAAGAATATTGCTAAATTTATATTGCTATGCGTGGGGGGAACAACTTGATGGACATGTATGAGTTTCGGCTTCCGTAGACTTTAAAAGGAACACCTTAGTTTAATGCGCTCACTTCTATAACATGTACCTACTTGGAAAATTTCTTGAATCCTTGTATAAAACATACTTAGACGAAGTTGTTACTTCTTCAAAATGGATATTAATAAATTACAGAACCTATACTGCTCATGGCCAATTCATAAATTGAATTTTCCTTTGTGCTAATTAATTGTTGGAGTATAGTATTAATCTAGAGGATAAGTGTCTATTTACAGTCTATTATTTGAACACCTGAACGTGCTCGTATATGTTTTGATCATAAACTAGCTGTAGGTAGATACCCTGCCACGCTTCGCTACGCTATTTAAAAACAATAATTAAAGTGGGTTTTAAACCTACCTATCGTGTCAAAATTTGAGCTCCATAGATGTGAAATTTTTCGAGTTTTTTATATATAGAGATGTATAAAAAGAAACATTTTTATATATAGAGATGTATAAAAAGAACGTTACTTAATTTCATTTCAAATTTTAATTTTATGTACAAAGCATAATAACATACCAATTAATTAAAAAAAAAACATTTTTTTTAAATATTCTGCCTCATTCACACAACACCATCTAGTCTTAAATTAATGAGAGCTTGTACTATGGGTACTAGACAACTAATATAAATACATCATTCATTTCATTTTTGTAGTTACTCTATTGAATGAACCATAATTATATAGTTATTCATGAAGTTTTTCAAACATTAAAATGCTAATGTTTAGACTAAAAAAACACAGTCCACGCACAAACCACACCTAAGAATTGTATCCAATGCGGCGCAGTATTTCTTGAACATTGTCGTTGGGTAAAGCCGCCACCAAGGAGCGCGTAGTTCTAGTTCACCAACACTTAGAAAGAAAGTTTGTACAGCATGAATGAGCCGCATGCTCTCAGACTCTTCTTGGGCTTCGAAACAACCAAGCCGAGTGTCTAAGGCTATTAATCCAAGCGCTGAAATAGAACAGTTAATAAAGGTAAGTACCTATAAGTACCTACGACTCGAGTAGTAAATGTAATTTAAACGTTGCACGTCGAATCTTATAATATTACCTAATTTCAAAATCATGTTTTTTGAACATTTTCTTCATAGGTAGCTAATAAATAAATAGTGTTAAAATTTTGACACAACAATAAAGACAGCTCGTCTTTAGTCGCCTATTATAACTCAATCAAATTAATCAATAACTTTATTTTGTGCACAATCCTTAGTCACAAATAAAATCTCCTCTAATAATGGTATTGAAATAACTTAGAAAGCTTCATAAAACCCTGTTCTTAGAAAATCGAACATAAATCAACTCAGAGACGTGATGTTGAAACCATACCTAATAGATAGGTATGGTTTCAACCACTTTTAAATAAAACAATTTACTTACATTCTAGCGACCATTTATGTACTTCGTTTAAAAAGTCATCTGGTGTTTCCAAGTTTTCATTCCTTATATCGCGTACTCTAAAAGGACAAATAATGGACTCTGTTTAATTTAGCACATAGGTACAACAAAACTGTGTAGATATTTGCCAAAAAAATATGCATCTAAAAACTATAAGGTTATGCTTTGTAAAATCAATAAAATAGTAAAATCTAATTGCCAGGTTAGTAATAAGTAAGTAACATTTTTGCTACTTTCATCAAGCTACTTATAACACAAACAAAATTTAAAGCGCTGATTGACTGATAAGTAAAATATAGTATTTACCTTTCTACAAACGCATCTGCAACTTGTGCTACAGGCACTGTATATTGAGCTGCTGCACCAGCACTTAACGCCACCCTAGATACTTTTGTTCTGAATGCAGCCCAAGATTCACCGTGCCTAAAACATTAATGTTGTAAATACACCTGATTTACAATTTTAACTGCACTCTGCACTATAGAAATGTCTCGTATATGAAAATGAAACACTCACAAAATCTTAGCAAAATAAAATGAATAGTAGAAACACTGAGTTGGCGACTTCTAGTAGATAAAATATCTTGACGGATCTTATGAGACTTTATTTGCTTATTATTTTTTTATTATTATTTAAAATTTTAATTTAAGTGTAAATGTGTATGGTGTACAATTAAAATATAGATACAAGAATTTTTATCATCCAGTTATCGCAGATAATATCTAGATACTTACACCGCTATGACTCCAGCGCAGTTTTCTTCAGCACCAAAGAAATCTTTCCTCAGGGTATGCTTGTAATAATTTAGAGACGGCATTGAGGGTCTGAAATATTAGAAAACTTTAATTAATTACCTTGTCTGGATTTTCCAGCGTTGAGATTATCCAGAAGGAGTGTTTGCGATAGCTAACTTCCAACTGGCTTACCAGTAATGATTGGATGGGTCTACTGTTAGGTCAGCGACGAAGGCATTCTTAAAATCGTTCCTGTTAACCTTTTACATACATACACGTAAAGGTACATCTAAATGGTAAGTTGATGAGTTTTATTTTGGTCCCACAAAGCAAAATGGATGTCAATGTAAATATTTTAAGGAATAGAATAAGATGGAAATTTTAAATAGCCCCCTTTCAACCCTTTCTGGAAAAATCGTGATTTTTAATGTATAAATCTTTGATTTGAGACTGGCCTGTTGGTCTAATGGTTAGTGACCCTGACTGCTATGCCAGAGGTCGTGGGTTCGATTCCCACCCAGGACAAATAATTGTGTGATGAGCACAGTCATTTATTCTGTGTCTGGGTGTACTTTATCTATAACATGTATGTATTTACAAATATATAAGTATGTTTATCAGCAGTCTGGTTATCATAGTACAGACTCTGCCTAGTTTGGGATCAGACAGCCGTGTGTGAGATGTGTGAAAATATTATTATAAAAAATATTATTTTGAATGATACAAGAAAGATAATGGTATGTACAATTTTTTTTAAATAACTGCAAATGATACCTAAAATAATTAAAATTGTCATGAATTTCATGATCTATTACTCTTTGAAAAGCGACTTTAGACGACAAAAAAAGGTTTTAAGCCAATGTTATCAAACTAAATCAACTAATTGACGGCACAGAGCTTCTTACATTTGACGATTTTACATTCTCTTAACTCACCTATGAGGAGCAGCGTCCTCGCCCCTAAACACTCTTTCGACTTCACTGGCGTCGAAGACGAACAGCATATCAGGTCGGCCCAGTAAGCCTGTAATCTTGACGCAATCACCATACTGCTCGCGTAACGATAAACACACCTTGTCGATATGTTCAACAGAATATCCACCTGGAAAAAAAAACAGAGTACCTATCTGAACGTTTAAATAAAACCATGTTAAAAATATACTCCTCCTGCATCACTTAAGTACGTATAATCTAATTATCTTTAACTATACCCAGATGATCTGGTGGTGGATCTACTCGTAGTTATGCCGTTAGCGGGTCAAGTGAGGGAGGCTCTCTTTACAACAGGTAGACCCAGTCTCCCTGTTGTAAATAGACGCCAAAATGACACAGCCGAGACCTGTATAATAAGGGCTTAGTGAATGATTAGAAGAGTTGCTTGTGCCTCTTGTATCTCCGTTCTAGCAGTAGGCCTAAAGGTGAAGACACTCTTGTGCTGTGAATCTGTTTGTCCGCGACATATCCCCTTTATGATGTCATTGCATAAGTGGGGGACATTAAGAGATGCCCATATTTATTAAATACACCAAACTTATAGATAAGTAATAGATGATAAAATAGAATTATCCAGTTTTATTTCTAATAGCTTATTAGCCTTTTCTCATAACAGTTCGGCACTAAGTATTTTAAAATATTTGTAAATAGTTTTGTACTGTAGGACAATATAATGGTAGAACATGAAATTTTTAGATCGATCGTAATTCGATCCAATCGTAGTAGAAACCACGCTTCGATGCATGCTGTACCCCGTTTCCTACAGTTTCACTTTCGACATTGCAGGCCACCAGACTCACCGGTTATTACTCCTTCCTAAGAAAACGAGAGTCCCTTTAAATACAGAATTAGTCAATAACAAAGATATGCACCTGGAAAAGCAATGTCTAAAGCCACTCTTATCCTAATAGCATGCTGTATATAGGGCTATAAATTAGAAAAGTACTTTGCCATACCTTTTTATTTATTGTATCTGTATGAAAAAGTAAAGTTTACCTGTATAAAATAGTTACGATCCATGAGATCTCTTTACTCTACAATAGTTGTAAAAAAGATATGATTGGTTTCCAAAGAATTCCATATACATAGATTTGCATTATTTGCTTACATGTATCTTTTAATAAACTCTACTTACTGGGATCCTGTTTTATGGGAAACACGTAAACTGCTCGAAGACTTTTTACTCAGAATATTAAAGTATTTTCATTACAATTACTTATAATTTTTCTTACAAACTTATAATTTCGTGTTTTAAAACCTAAAAACACGAACAGAAACTATTTCGTAATTCTCTCTGCACTCATCAAAATAACATCAAGGAAAAATTACAAAATATCTACTCTTATTACTTAACGTGCAAAATTGCATGGTCACGGGTTTACTAATCAGCTTTATTTGATACTAGTGCCCTTGTAAGACTTTCATGAATTTCAGTACAATAGATACAACTTCAAATGATACTAATGATGTCTACACAACCATCTAGATAAAGTCCTCATTATAGAGTCATTACAGTTACTGATGACTAGTAAATAATGTAAACCACGATTTTTTGATAAGAGTTGTTCTCTTTACTTAATAAAAAAAAGCATGTTTCATGACACCTTATTTAGAGGGTGCCCTAAAATGTTATACGAGAGAGTAGGTTTATATTTAATTAGGTATTGTGTGACAACAACCAATACCGAATTACTAATTGAAAACTTTCAAAGAATACATTTCGTACAACACAATATGCAACGCACAGCCAATTTTTGATCACATACATTTAAAACTTTTACTAAAATTAACTGATAAAAACGTAATGCCTAAATTTGCACACAATGACATATGGACACACTGCACAGTTAAGTAATTCTGCACCAGATGACTTCAGAAACATTACAAATTCTAAATGAGAAACTGAGAGGGCAATGAGAGTTCATCATTTTACAAATTCTCCAATAATATTGAGTACATATTGTAATTTTTATTGAATATAAGCATACTAAACTGTAAGAAGAATATAATCATCCCAGTATTTATACCAACTTTTTCATACCATGCCCAGGTTTTGCCTATCGTACATTTTGTCAATCAATCAAGTTATTCCTAGCCTACAGCACTTTCTTCTTTATGAAAAAAATCGTGACGATCGCTTGAATAATTAAGACGTCAAAAAGTTAGACAAACAAATAATTATGGAACTGTCGTTACCTAGAATTACTTAAATTTTATATATTTTATAAGATTGCATTACAAAGTAAATATTTCGTTGTTACAGTATACTTATAAAAGCAAATAAGTGGGTATTGTTCCAAAGGTGTCAAACCCTTCACTTCCGCACTCGACAGGGTCTTCTGTTCAAGATTACAGATGCCTACACTGAAAGTTCATGTTCACATTGAAAGTTATAAATGAATGTAGTTTTTGTATCAGTGGAAATCCAGTACACCAAGAAGACACACAGTGACCATATCGCGTACTCTAAATACATTCACAAAATTTTAGCAAAATCGATAGTAGAAAAACTGAGTTGACGACTTCTAGTAGATAAAATATCTTAACGGATCTTATGAGACTTTATTTGCTTATTAATAATATAATAATAATAATCTACCACATTCACACAACGCCATCTAGTCCCAAACTAAGCAGAGCTTCTACTATGGGTACTAGACAACTGATATAAATACATATATACTTTTTTTTTGTAAATACTTATTATACATAAAAACACCCAGACCAAATCAAACATTAATTATCATGCACACAAATGTTTGACTTGAGCGGGAATCGAACCCGCGACACAAACCACTACGCCATCCGGTCGTCAAGTTTATTATTTTGCTTTATCATTACTTAGTTTTTCCCCTTCTTCTTTCAATCTCACATCACATCACATCAAAAGCCTTTACTAGTCCACTGCTGGACATAGGCCTCTCCTTAGAAAGGGGGTTTTGGCCTTTCAATCTCAGTAAAAGTTTAAAAAAATAAGCAAACACAAGCGCGTTGGCTTTGTAGAAATAGTAGGCTCTTTTCTTGAATTAAAAGTAACAAAGTGTTTAAACTTAACATTAACAAGACGTATAAAGATTATTATTAGATGATAATGTATAAACGCTGTAAATGAAAGTTTCATCAACGCAAGGGTCATTAGCACGAGTACAACTATTAGCTCCTACTAATGAAAATACACACGGTAGTTATACAATACATCTTTTCTTGAAACTCTCATACTTACGTTTCTAAGGTGCTTTATAAATTTTAGTTCACTTAAGTTCAAGTAGTTGAATACGCGATAGTTTGTATGAATTAAATATAACAGTAAAGCTATAGCTATTTTTTTTGTGACGTTCTACCATTTGTATGAACTGGGGATTACGATCCTGCCAGGTCTGAAAGGAGCTATAATACTACATTCTAATACAGATCGGAAGGATTGATAATATACTATACAATGAAGGAAAACGTGTATTCTAGTTACTGGAATACACGTTTTCCTACATTGAAAAATAAATTATGTAATTTAAAAAAATAATATAAACATGAGAAGACAATTTTCAAGTGTTGGATATAATTAATATCAATATACCTAATGAACTTCACTTGTTAGAACTGTTAGATATTATTTTAGTCTAAAAAATAAGTATTCAACAAATACGTTACCACGAATCGACTTTAACTTCATCGAACTGGTACTCCAATATAGTAGCTACATTGTAGACAAGCATAACTGGCTTACCGACTTGTCTAGAAATCCTGGTTGAAAAATGTTGACGGCTTGCGTCTGATTGCAACTTGTTTCTAGTACCTAGCGACGGCTTTCTAATAAGTTACTTGTCTCTCCTAATTTGTGATTTCTTTTTTTCATAGTCTACACTAAAAATATTTGAACCACGACACAAAATAATGCTCTAATCTGAGGAACTTCTCAACAAGGCCGCGGTCTACCTGTTAGTAAACTTTAATCAATATTGCAAATATTTGTTACGGTACAAGTTTAATTGGTCGCGGGTTCTTGTGATATTCATGAATTATTTGAAGAGCTGACTAGGAGAAATTATATATGAAACTAATACTACTGTTTAACTAAAATTAGAGTAATTTATTTATTTATTTACAACTTTATGCACTTGTGTACATCGGCGAGCTTAATGCCCAGGGCATTCTCTACCAGACAACCTTTGGGTGGTGTAGAAATCTGGTGAGGTAGGTGCACTGAGGTTACAGATTTAATAGTAGTATATATATAGTAAACTAACACATACAAATACACATATACACACACGCATATGCATACATACATAAATAGACATAAACACACATAAATACATACTCTTTATATTCGTACACTGTAAATAGGGAGGTGTACTATTTCACCTAGTAACACCTAATACCTATTACACCGAGGGAGTAATTGAGTTGTATATTATGACGTTTACATGTTGTCTTAACATATTTAGTGTTTTACAACATACCACAACAAAATACAACTTATTTGTTTACACGTCAAACGACGACGGTGGCGACCTACCGACTTGGTGCACGAGATCTATTGCTGATACGAGAATCGCCCGAGGTGGTGGGTTTCTAGTACCTTATACCGATGGTACGCTTGTTTAACCAGATTTTTATATTTACCAACTACGTACGATAACAGCACTGCAAGGAGAAGGAAAACTTGACACAAACCCTATACCAACCCGTCTGGCCAGCGTGCTATAGTAGGCCAAAACCTCCTTTCTAAGGAGAGGCCTATCTAGCAGTGGACTATAAAAGACTGTTGATGATTATGATGATTGTATTTATTGATAAAAACAAAAAACTGTATGCAAGCAACTGGTTGTCACCTTACGCACCACGGAGCGTAAAAATTGCACTGTTGCGTAAGGAAGGAAATGTATTGCGTGTCGCGTGCAATAACTGACAGTATGTAACGAGAACTATGTAAACCTAGATAAATGGGAACACGGTATAAGACTATCCATCAGCTACTTACAATATTTGGTTTAACTTAATTTGGTTTAAGTCAATCTTAATTCCTGAAATTCCATTTTACTGAAAGACTGTTTAACAATTTTTTAGCCAAGTTAATCTAATGAAATACTTACAGAACTTAAAATTTCT